GGGGTGTTTTTCTGCTTAGCCAGAGCACAGCTGCAGTCCTGTGCAGCTGACAAGAGATGTGGTGTCATTGATATCAAAGTGGCAGCCACCAGCTGACACACCTCCATGGTTCCACACAGTGGTTTCCTGCAGCTGTATATGACATCTTGCTGTTTCAGAAAGCTTCATCATTGCCAGGGGGGTCAGGAACCTAACCACGAAAAGAATTGGGGTTCTACTGTAACAGTATCTACCTTTTCACTAATGGAAAATGTCTTTGTATATAACACACAGCTCATAACAAAAATGGTGTTATTAGCTGATAAACCTGTACATGCAAGATAAGAGAAATCACTCTTACTTTGCAAATAAATCATTAAATAACTTTTCTAATAAAGTTTGTTAAATAATGTATAGTCATCATCTCAGAATGACTTCTGGAGGTGCAATGAGGTACTCCTTTCTGCAAGTGCCATAACACATGAGGATATTTGAATAAAATAAAAGATTCTTTGCAAATACCTAGCTGCTGAATTTTACATTTTGACATTTGGAAATGTTTTCTTTCTTTAGATCACCCTGGTCTAACCAGTTCAAGCCAGATAGAAAAATTCCAGGAGAAGGCGCAGATGGAGTTACAGGACTATGTTCAAAAAACCTATCCAGAAGACACGTACAGGTGATTATTGTCTGTCTTTTAAACAATAGTGTAAGCAGTGGATGATAAATGTATAGAGAAAAAAAACAAGATTAATATTTAAGAATATTATTAGATTTATCTTTGTGAGGCTCAGATGAAAGACTGAAGAAGACCTCCTTTGCTTATTTATAAAAGTAGACAGGTTTCATTTTAAGTAGGGGAAGAAGCAAGATTAAGCCTGTAAATCTCTGCAGTTTAATTGAAACTGGTGTGAGCTTGCTTTCTTTTTCTATTTTTCTTATTTCTAAGTTAGAACAGTTAACTAGTTTCTGAGACCATAAAAAAGACTGAAACAATTACAACCCTTTAAAAGTTTGACAAGCTGCATATGCTGAAGAGTATTAAAACTGACAACTCAAACTTTTGAAAACCAAGGTATATATGGGGAATACCAAATAAGTCCCTGAAGCTTTTCTTTAGAAGAAATTCTGCATATCTGTGATATTTTCTTGTTCTTCTATTTGATTTCTAAGATTATTTTCTTAAAATATCCTGTTTTTGTATAGAATATTTAGTTTTGCTGCCCAGTCTTTACTTGAAATTATTAGATTTCAATTATCCCTACCACACTTGTTATCCTATTTGATTCTTAAACATCTCTGTCACGTACCCAATAGTTATATGGCAGAAGGAGTTTCATTTTTTCCCTGGGAATAACCTTCTGAAGCAGGGGATTTTTTTTATCATGTATTCCCTACTGTCCACTAGATCAAGGGTTGAGGGACTGCAGCCAGAGAGTCCACAAGGCTTCTACCCCCTTGGACATCAGGAAGGTGGTCTTTACATTACTTCTACATGTCTAGCAAGCAAGGCAATGCTTGGGGTGACAGAAGGGCAACATAGGATCCCCAATTATTCCAGATGCAGTAGCTCTAACATGGCTGGTGCAAAGGGGCTGGAGTGGAGCTGCAAAGTGGTGATGGGGGGTAGGGAGAACATTCCTCCAGTGCAGAATATAGCCACGGTTTCGTGAATGGAACTATGGTTCCCAGAACCTGAATTTGCCCTATACATAGAGACTGAATATTCCAGGTTAATGGCAGAAAACTGAACTTGTACTATAAGAAAAATTTTAAAAACCTATTCTCAGCATTTATACTACTTGATAAAGAATAAGGGAAGGCAAATATGTAAAATTTCCCGAAGACTGACCTTCATTGTAATTAGTACAGTTTTTACCCTTATTCACCTGTGCATGAATTCAGAGTACAAGTCTGAATACTTGCAGTCTTAGTATTTGAATGATGGCACAAATCAGACAGGTAGTGGCAAAATTACTTAACATTTTGCCCTCAGAAAGCTTCAGTCATTTTGCAGATTTACCATTAAATGTATGAGAAATGCTATGTTAGCAGAATTGGTTCTACAAAGATGTTTTAACACCTGTTTAAGAAGCTGGAATAGTCTCTCAATCAGCAAAGCAGGTGCTTTAAATGATTTTGTCAAGAAACACCTCTTTTTTCATTTTTAGTCACGTGATTGCACTTTAAACACAGCAGACAGACAGTCAGCGATACTGTCAACTAAAACTGTATTAGAATGTCAATGGGTGATATACAGTGTGTTTCTCCATGTTTATATGCTGGTCAGCATCCTTCTACATTAACTAAACATGACGTTTGGGGCTAGTGTAAAAGTGGTTGCCCAAAGCCCCTTTCTCACCAAAACCAGATTTTTCTGGTTTTCTTGTGCATGCTCAATCTCTGCTATTGGTTTGTCATTAACAAGTTGCTAGGCAACTGAAAGTGATGCTGTATAGATGATTTAAATCCTAATTAAGCATTTTGCTCTTAAAAACATGAAAATGTCCTCATTACTAAGTATGAGATGTCTTTAGTCCCGAACTACTTTCAAAGCTGGGAATTTCCAACAGTAGACTAGAAGAATTGTGTGTTTATATACACACGTGTAATATTAATATATCCTTTTCACAGGAGAACCACTAAAAAAAGATTGTGGCATTTCATTGTACGTGCAGAGTGGAAGAATTAACATAGACATTCTTTCATGGTAGCTAAATTAGCTTAAATTGCCTCTTTACTCCCACTCATGAGTTACTGTAATAATAAAAGCAGATCCAGCCCTTTAAGAGTGAAGCAGTTTAGGTTAACTTGAATTATGTATTTTTATAATCTGTTGAACTTCTTTTCCAGGCTTGCCCGGATTCTAGTTCGCCTGCCAGCACTTAGACTGATGAGCTCTAGCATTACTGAGGAACTTTTTTTTACTGGTCTCATTGGTAATGTTCCAATTGACAGCATAATCCCCTACATCCTCAAAATGGAAACAGCAGAGTATAATGGTCAAATAACTGGCACGTCGGCATAGTGGGAACAACATATATTGATGGATCAAAGTAATTTTCATAAAATCACACAATTAAGAGATACAGACTTTAAAAATGACACTTTGGTATGTACAATTATTTCCAACGCATTACCAGTTTCCTATCAGACTGCGCCTTCTTTATTTGCCTCCTTTGACAAAATATAAACAGCTATTAAAAGACCTATTAGGACCCTTTTCTGCCACAAGGAACATTTTGATGCCTTTCATTCAAAAGGGTATAGATTCCTAAACATACTTTTAATGAGCTTTGTATTTAGAAATTATCAATGGGCAAAAATAGAGTTTTATAATGTCAGAGATTAGTATTAAAAATGCTAAAAAGAAAAAAAAAGAGAACAGTATGTATATATTTAAAATGTCCTTGGAATTAATATCTAATAATTACCAGGGTATAATATTAGCACTTTGTAAGCACTTCTTATCAAAGCGATAATGTCATCATCCTGCTTATAAGCAAAGCAAATGAAAAACTGCAGATGTCCTTGGTCATAATGCTAATGATTTCTGTGAAAATGTAGAAGGCTACAGGAGACAATCATCTGTTCTACAAAACGTCGCTGTTCATAATGTTATGAATTTAATAGCAATGTGGCTCTTCAAAGCAAATTTCTACATTATATAGCACTAAGCTCAGCTAAATTAGTGAAAATATGGTTCACTGACAGCATGACACAAGCATAAGAACTATAGCATAATTAGCAGCAGCAATAAATGATACAGAAATTATCCAAACTGGAAGGCAAAATACCAATTTCTTGCCATAGCAATGCTGAAACACGATGTTTCAATTCAGCCTGACATGGATGTTTACATAGTCATGACAAACTTTATTCTGCTCAGATACCTTTTGATTGTGGGGGGGAAATCAGTCATTAACTGGCAGGGAAGCAGTCCTTTCTAGCTAGAGCTGTGCGCTCCTCTCAGTGTATAGACTTAACGTATTTCCAAATTCATTCCTTCTTTCAGTGGTTCTGCACCACCCTCACTACCCTTTCAGCCAAAGGAACAATTCTGAGCACAGAAAGCTGCTATTGTCAGCCAGAGGGATAAGTGGAGAACCCAAGGCGCACACACGCTCTCTCACGCTCGCTTTCTCCCTCCCTCTTTCTCTCCCCCTCTCTCTCTCTTTTTTGTCCCTGTCCCAACCCCAGGAATTGAGTGTTCCTGCTTGTGCAGTGCTACCAGCCCCCCTATGACTCAGTTCCAAATTGAAGTATAGGTTGGGTTTGTATTCAATCATGTGCAATTGCAGTTAATGACCGATTGTTTGGCGTTAGAGTACTAACTACCTTTCCTCAGCTAGGGTAGTGACCTATTAAGTTGTTTTCTAGTATTGACCATATCCTGCTAGCATTGCTTTTATTTTAGTGTAATTTATTAATACTGACATTAAATATTTTAAACGACATTTACAAAAAATGCATTTTTGTCACGCTATACCTTCATTAATCTGATTCTTGCTTACTATATTCATTAATTACTTTTAATGAATTTACCTGGTAGTGGCATTATCTATTTGTAATACTTGTATGTGAAAAAATATACGTGATGAATTCAGCACTTTTTTTGCTTCTGGCATGGACATTGATTTAGAAACACATTCCAGCAGGGTTAGTATTTGTCTCTCTCTTAAGGTTCTTGATTGTAGCCAAAGGACCTTGAACAACTTCAGACAAGGCTTTTAATGTAGTAAGAGCCCTCCTCTGGTACCCTTTACCCTCATTTCAAGGTTTTCATTTATAACACTCATTTTGTCACAAAAGACTTTATAGCTCCTGGATGCATTAAACTTCAATGTAATCACCATCTTTATAACATTCAGAAACCTTGGCTATCAAAAAGATATTATAAAGAGATTGCAGTGTAAGTGCAGACCTCTGTTGTACCTTCTTCCCTAGTTTTTTGTTATAATAAACAGACTCGTTGATTTTTTTCTCTTTTTTTTTACATGATAGACACTTCCATGTTCTGAACATGCTTAAGACAACTGGAATGCAGAGTTAATTGTGACCACCATATTAAAGCATCACTTCTTTAGGGTTGTGTCAGCTCTTCCAGTATAAAATTTGTGTTTTAAGGATTTATATTTGGCCTTAAAAATTAGTTGTGGCCTGAATTTTAATGTGTAAATACTTGCCTTGGAAATAAAATTTCACAGAAGCATTATGGCCATTTTTGTGCGAAAAACAAATGTTAAAGGTGTATTATATAACTTCTTTTTTAAGAAAAGTAGTATGCATTGAACTGTTTTGAATTTTTTAAATTGCAAAAGATTAGCAGATCATGTAGTTTAACTGCTTACAATGTGTTGTTAAAATTTAAGCAGTCAAAGCATTTTTAGTAATGGAGTGTGAAACAGTGATATACGCAGAATATACTAAACCATTGGAAATCAAAGTTTTTCTAAATTTTATTACAAACTTGAAATTTTTTTCATGAGAATTTTGTTTGAACATGTGTATTTATCTAGGGAAAGAGTCTTATTTTCTGGTGAAGATGAGCCCAGTTTTTAATTAAGTCTTCCCTGCTTGAAAATACACTAGCATTTGTTTTTTCCCCTAGTTTTATATATGAAACTATTTTACAGAAAAAAAAAAAAGAAAAAAAACCTCCGCGCGCACACACGTCAACAGCTAATCATAATCTTGGGAGCACAATTAGATGCAATGACACAGAAAATATGTGTCTTAAACTTTGTAAATCTAAAATGGTAAATTTCACAGTGCTCTGTTTGCATCTATAGTACACATCTGAAAAACATGGGGCCACATTGCCGTATCCTTTGTGGTGCATCTGATGGTCCTTGCTCTGCAAATAATTCCTTTGGCCTCAGAGTGAGTAAAGCTGTCACAATCCAGCCTGTGTGTAGGATTCGTTTTTACAAGGTGCGATTGCATTTAATGGATAGAGTGAGGCAGTTCCATCCTTACACTCTAAGAATCCCAAATTATCACCTTTTCCTCTCTGAAGCTTTTGTTTGCGCAGTGTTACTGGCATGATTTGCTGGGTGGGGCAAGTCAGATCCAAGCTTACCTAACCCCTAGGCCATTAACAGGAAGTGTTTTCTGCAAGCATATGTTGTTTTGATTCTAAGACAAAGCTTTGGTGATAGAAAGTTGGATACCAGATGGTGTGTGTTCCAGGGCTTAGGAGATGTTCCAAATCTTAGTTGTCTCAAATACAAATTATCAATAATAGGATAGATGGGGATAATAAGATTTGTGCTTCTGCTTTGCATGCTGCTAATGGGCTAACATAGGATTGAGCCAAGGAATTGGTGCCCGTATAAGAGAGAGAGCAAGGGAAAGTAAAAATACTGCCATGTAAAATAGTGAGCCATTCTCCAGTGCTTGGGACTTATTTGATGTATCTGTAAAACCATCCTAAATGGCTCAAGGACCACCCTAAAGTAAGGATGATCTTCCAGAGGTTTAGAGCCAATAGAGGGGATCTTACATTACTACATGTTGCAAGGGTAGTGAGGGTAAGAGGCATAGCTAGGGAAAATGGGCATAACCAAGTTATTCCCTCTTTGGCTAATTTCCTTTGATGGTATTTCAGCCCTTTGTATTCAGTGGAATTCTCTGGCTGTTCTAACAGTACAAGAGGAAAATGGTCCATGAAAGGGTGAGGATAGGAGTGCAGAAGTGAACTTCAAACCATCAGTTCATGCCACTGACCTGTGTTCTCTGCATTTGGCCTGTGCCATAAAATCAGATCCTGTATTTTTTCAACTCTTTTTTGTTATTAATAATGTACTTTCCAAAAAATATTAGAGAAGTGGTATTTTTGCCATATATTTTATTTTTTCCCCCTTTCTATATTTCAGTGATTGTACAATGAGAATAGACTGGCCTCCCTCACTAGTTTCTAGTCCATTTCACTTCCCTATAAGCACAAAGCTGCACTTTTGTGTTGTAAATAAGGATAAGGAATATTTTGCTTTATTTTTTGTTTAAGATAGTGGCTACAGGATTATTGGGAAAACTTCTGTTGTGTCTTATATTTGGTACAGTGGGTTTTTTACACAAATGCAATATGACCTGAAAAAATCTGCAGCCAAATCTCATAAACTGCTAGCAGTTGTCAAAAATGCAACATCCAACTAAAGTTCTTCCTAGTGTCTGAAGTTAGCCCTCTTACATTTTAAGCCCTGACTGTGCTGCTTTTAAAGTTAAAATCAAAAGAAAAAGCTCATCCTAAGCCACTTGATTAGTTATCTGAACTTGCCCATCTGTGTACAACAGTAAGAATTAGTTTGTACAAAACCTGAAATTCCACACTGGCTGAAATGCTGTGAATAGTAATAGTCCAGTATTCCTCAACTCTGTTGACTTCCAGAGTTTGCCATGCAGGCCTTCCTGTCTTCCTACTCTTGCAAGAAGGCAGTGGATATGGATGTTGTACGGTAGTATAAAGGAATAGTTACTGAAAGCCATGAAAGGTCACTTTGGATAAAGCTAAATGTGGTCTGTTTTTGAACGACTTGTAATTGGTTTTACTTTATATGTCCCCAAAGCAAACGGGCATATTTAAAAATTCTAAGTAAAAATGATTCTCCTTAATTGACTCTCATTAACTTACTAAGCAGCAAGCAGGGCTCAGATCAGAAGCCAAGGTCCTGACTTACATCTCACTTACACTGGTTGTAAGTGAGGTTGCTTTGGAGGGACTGATGGAAAGTAGAAGAGAAACAAGGCCAGCCCCTCTGCAACGCATTGAGCCAAGTCAGAGCAGCCCCAAGCTGGCAGGCTGATCCCCAGGGCCTCTGCCAGCTGAGGCTGCTCTGCCCCAGCTCAATGTGCTGCATTTCCAGGTACACGTGCAAATGCAGCATCCAGGAGCAGTTGCACCGCAGTTTATTCAGCGGTATTAACTGTACATGTAGACACACCAACAGAGTTGTAACAGACCAACCTGCTTCTGTCATGGTGGGCCCTTGGACCTACTAACATGGCAGCTGGGGACCTCTGCTGTTTCAATATATCCCTGAACATACGTGGCATGCATAAGAGAAGTCATGTTGGCTACTGCCTCGTATGAAACAAGGGAGAAAATTGTTAGTGCTTACTAAATGTTGAGTGCATTACAAAGAGTAGCAATTGTAAAATCAAAGAATGTTTTATAAAGAGGGATTTGATATTTTCCTTTTGACTCTGGAGTTGTCGAGCCATTTAGGAAGTATATTTTATATTCTCATCAAGCCCTTTTAAAATTAAGGTGTACTTATTTTTTGACTAAGGATGCCATAATCCCACCTGTTGGGCTGTGAGATACAAACCGATCTTAGTAGAGGTTAATAGCTGTAAAATTTGTTTGGGTAAATATTTAAAATGGCTGTCTTAAGGAAGAGGCAACAGAAAATTAAATACCTGGGAAAGATTTTAAATAAGTTAAGCCTTCAGATATTAGCATCAGAAAGCACCCACCCCTAGAAATACTTTTACTCTAGGGCCCTTCTTTTGTGAATTACTAAATTTGTGATGGAGAGTATCCAGGGCTGTATATAATGTTCTTTATAGCCCATTGTACAAGTGCTTTCAAACTGGTTTATTAGGATCTTCAAATCCATGCCTTTCCCCTGACCCAGTTTTTTAAGCAAGCAGACAGGTTTTTTATATTTCTTTTTGTGCCTCCCACCACTGTGCACTTCTGCATGGCCAATACCAGAACCCACTCAAGTAGATAATGCATATGTACATAGTTGTATGTATGCGTGTATGAATGTATATGTATGTATATCTCTCTGTCTAAATCTATCCTGTACAGTGTATATAAAGTGTGAATGTGTATGTATATATGTACAGAGATGTAGCCATGTATTCACACAGTTCTATATGTTAAAAGAAAGTTTATGATTGAATTGCTAATCTGGAGCTTCCTAGATTTCATTTGTTGGCCCAAGTGCATCCTTGGCTTAAGCAGGCGCATCACCAGTACCTTCAACAGTGTTGCAGGGGTTGGAGTGGTGCAGGCACAACAGTGCATGGTTAAGAGCCTAGAATATCACGAGTTCAAAGCCACAGCAGAAGTGCTCACTGCACAGCCCTGTCACACTCCAACTAATCTGTAGTTTCTGTTGAATGAATGTGTTGTCACAAGGAAAGGAAGTAGTGTTGCATCTGTTTCTAAGCCACAGGTGAATTTGGTCTTTGGGTTTTTTTTAATGACAGGGCATTTGAGATTTTGATTTTTTTTCCAACCTTTTCTCATTTGGCCAGGATAAGCCATCCAGTTGAGTCAATAGAATCTACAATGTCCAAGGAAGAATAAGAAATAAAAGCATACAGTAAATATTTCCACATTCTCAATACACAGGAAGGGGCTTTTAATAGCCTTCTGGGAGGTCTTTTCAGAGCTTTGTTTTAGCGTGGGAAATATGGTAAGAACTTGAAAGTATTTAAGACTCCAGTAGTAGCTAATTAGAAGGGTTATTATGCATCTTTGAACTATACCCTGCAGAACAGAATACGGTGGATGGTGCAGTGCATGCCATTTCTGAAATCGCCAACAATGATTGTACTAGAAGAAATCAAATTGTTAATAAAATTTGGACTTAGATGTTCCACTCTTACCACTTCTCAGCCAGTGAGAGGCTTATACAACTTATGACCAATATCCTTCACTGTATCTTGCCTGGTTTAGTAAAAGCAATTAAATTTCCCTGGAGGTGATAGTTAAATAAAAGAAAATAATTTTTAAATAGGTTTCCAATTTTTTGTGAACATTTAGACTTTTTTTGGATGTTGATGGTGTGTTTGAGGTACTAAGCATTATTGTTTCTAGTAACATCCAGGTTTTTAATGAAATCATTGCATTTTCTCTCCCTGTTTTTTCAAATATTTTTATTTTCTAATTATATTTGATGGTGCAATTGAGTTACTGGGCTCTGACAACACTCATGCTTTAAATGTAACCCTCTGTGTTTCTTGTCTATTTTTTTTATTATGGTTTTTAATTTCTTTTTTGTCCTCCCTTCACTAATTTGGATTTTGCCCATAAGATTCAATTTCTAATGTTATTCTTTCTTTGATTAACAACTTAAGTAATGTAATTTTAATTAGCTGTCAAACGAACATCCAGTTTCACACTAGACCACCTCCCAAAAGTGATCTGAGTATAAAAACAATCTGTATGAAACCCCCTGTGAAGATCATAGTACCTGAGCATTTGGAGCATACACAGAAATTGAGGCCACAGTATGAAAAAATATATATATTTTGATGGGAATATTTTAATGGATCTTGCTCCTTTTGCTTGCGGACTCGGATTTACATAACAGGCCTTCTGTAAAAGTTTACCTCCACATTTCAAAAATTCTTGGTGGGACAGGAGTGGCTCGGTGCCTCTTATGTGGTTGTCATTCGACAAGATGATTGTGGAATTTTCTGAGCATTTATTTCCACATATTGGGCTCAATCCTGAAAAGACTTTTATATAATGCTTAACTTTAAGTAGATGAGCAGACCCCACAGAAGTCAATGGGAATGCTTTGTGTGCATACAATTAAGCCTAAGCACATCTTTGCAGGATCCAGCTATTTGGGTGTAAAATCTTTGCTACGAAAGCTGCTAAGAGCATTCTGTTTCTTGCCATATTATTTAGTAAGTGTTTGTAGATTTTGTTTCAGTTACAGACCTTGTGAAACATACATCCTTTTAACATTTCAAACCCAATCCTTCAGCAGGCAAAAATTCCATTAAAACCAATGAAAAACAATGGGAATATTTTCTGCCTGACATGGCTTTTCATTTGGTGTCATGACAATCAGTACTGTTTGAATAATGCTTGTTTTTGTGTTAAAAGTAGAATGGACACCATAATGTCTTTAAATGCTGTTTTATTTCAGTAGCACTTGTAAAGGTTAAGAAATGGATAGAGGTATTGATCAGCATAACAGCTGTTTAAAAGGAGAAAACTGAATTCAAAAACCCAACCCATATGTTAAGACTGCAAGGTATGGAACATGACTGATTCTTTTCCCTATTTTGACAGACAGATTGTGCTGAAATATAAATGGGAATAAATGAGAATGTATTATCCCATAAATACAAATGGGAATATATTATCTTGCAAAAACTGTGGGATGTGAAAACAGGTTTCTGTATTTGATCCCAGAAGGCCAGCTACCGAAAACCACTCCTATTACAGGTGTTTAACACCTCTCAGTAGCTGGCACATTGCACATAAAGAAATGTTCCTAGAAATACCTACTATTGTAAAGCAGGTACAGATCCCTTTTAAGAATTATTTCTAGAATTTTGGATTTAAAAAAACGTGGGAATTAATACATGTAAAAGAAAAGGGGTATCCTTTAAAAGTGTGTTATTTATATAATATATTTGCTTTTATCATCCATGGAATTGAATTCAAGTGCTGAAATATTTTTCTATAATTGATCTCTTCTCCAAATGATATTGTAATCCAGTGTTCAAACAGTTTTAGAACTGGAAAACTGCACATTTTTCATTGTATAATTGTTGTATGTATTTGACATACCCGGGAGTTCTGAGCTCTTGCAAAACTACCCCATCTGTTACAAGAGGAATTGTCTGCTGTAGTTCCCTGGGGTATTTTCTGTAAGCCTCTGCTCTTTGTCATTTAGAAAAATGTTATTTATGCCATTACATTTTAATTTCAGGTTTAAAACCTGTCAAAAGCTGTTTCTTTCTCACAGCTTCTTTTGTGAAATCAGCTTTGTATATGTGATGGCATTTAAAAATAATAGCATGTTCTTTTTTTAATCTGAATTTTATATCTAATCGATGTCTTCAGTTATGAAGAGGAATTTGCATTGTTGTGTTTGTATATAGGGTATTGCAGTGCATGATTTAGCTTATGCATTTTATTAAATGCTGTTTAAATGTGGCATTATATTGTTGTGGCTTAATACTACTACCTAAATGAGGTTTATACTATTAAAGTGAATTACCAATCTAAATGTATCCTTGATTTTTACTTTTAAGTAGGTCACTACATTTTTCTTTAAATAGTAGGTATATATTTGCTACCGAAGTCAACATTTCAGTTTTAATTTCCTGTCTTTAGAAGAAAAGGAGCCAGAGATTTTCCTCCACTTGACAAAAGCTTCCTGTCAGGTATTTAAACCAGTCAAAATCCACATTCTCTTCACCTTATTAACACCAGGTGCTGTTTGTATAGACAAGGTGAGTAAGAGTTGATCCTAATGGTTTCCATTCAGCCCTCTTTAGCCTCCCCTAGTTTCTTTAACACTTACTGCCATCTGAAAACTAATGATATGCTATTTATTGCAAGTTATATTTGCTTTTATTTGATAGGCACCGTTAGTTGGATTGAAATGGTATATCAGGTCTCCTACATGTGCCTGAATTAGTTTCTGATGCACGTATCGTAAAAGATGAGATGAGTTCTCCCTAAAAGCTTCTCTCAGATGAGCATGTGTGGTAGGGTAGGTGGCTGA